AGATGGTTCCCAGAGAGCACAGGCCAGAGAAGCAGTGATGACCAAGCTCCAATCCTCCTGTGTTTTGCTATAACTCAGACCAAAATCTGTGAGCCCCATTCAGTCAATCCTGGTCCTACCCTAGCATCCACTTTGGATGACTTTTGCAAAGTCATTTGAATCTTAGGGAGTATAAGACTGAAGGTTGGGCTTGCTGATCCTAGAGCTAGAGGTGTGTGTGTGTGTGTGTGTGTGTGTGTGTGTGTGTGTTTCCCTCTGGAATGGAAACCTCACATTTTCCTCCATTGTTTTGTTCACTGTCATTCTACAGTGAATCTGTGTTGGGGCTATGAACCACTTCTATCATCTTAAATATTGGACCCATGGCTCTTGTGCCCAGGAAGATGAGGAATCAAACAATAACTATCTGCTTCAGGACGTACCTGAAAAACAATTGAACACAAACAGTTGGCTGCTCTGTTTTTTAAAAATGAAGAGAAGGGAGGAGAAGATGGTGGGCCAGAGGGAGGCAGCATTCTATATCACTCCATAATACAAATTTCACCTTGTTGAAATACTGCCTCTCTGGGAATATTAGAGGACCCCTATACAGCTGATTTCTGCAGAAATTACCAGTGCTGTGACCCCCGTTCAGGGCTCCAAGTGTCAGTATTAGAGTAGGACTCCAGAAAACTCAAAGCCCAAAGTTCTAACCCATGCAGGGCTCGGGAGTACCTTAGCAGAATCATGGATCAGCACCTCTGCAGAATTCCAGACTGTGCTCAGCTTCCACGCAAGTCACTCAGCTGCTACTTACCCCCCACAACACCATTGCCCAGCTCCCCTGCCTCACCAGACACCCCAGCGTTGGAAGCAGGCTGCCTCCATCTTGGATAACCTTTCTCACCATATTTGATGGGGGTAGCTCCCAGAACGGATCTTCACTGGCCAGGTACCAGGTTTCCAACTCCATCTTCCTCTCCCTAGTGGTTATAACTCAACAGAGTAACTACCCAACACAAAACAGCTCTCAGTTGGACAGATATGCAGTGCAAACAGGGCACCTCCCTCCTTGGTATGAGAGGTCCTGCAGTTGGAAACTGCTAAGGGAGAGGGAGACAAGGCTAAAGTTCAGCGAAACCTAACAGAGAGACCAGGAATTGGGAAATTTCCAGGCAAGATAGGGAGATAGTACTGGGCTCTCAAGTCATATGAGTGGTCCCAAAAAAGAGCCTTGTGAGGGGCTGGAGCTGTGGCTCAGTGGTAGAAAGCTTGCCTGTCATGTGTGAAGCACTGGATTCGATTCTCAGCACCACATATAAATAAACAAAAATAAAAGGTCTAATGAAAACAAAAAATATATTTTTAAAAAAAGCCTTGTGAGGTGCAGTCTCCCTGCAGGGACTGGCAAGTGGCACTCTTGCTTCCAAGCACCCTGCACTAGGACCAGTCTTCCTACCCTGGCCACCTTCACCATCCTGATGGCAGAGACACCAGCTTACAACTGACACCCCAACTATTGGATGAGAAGAGAAGCAGGAAAGAAACAGATCTCTAAAACTAGCAAAAACTCTGGTTTCTTCCTTTGAGTATTTTTTTCCCTTTTTCTTCTACCCCTCTGTCCTCTGGCCCCCACATCAGATAGAGCACAATATCTAGGGTATATGAAGAACTCAAAAAGATAAGCACCAAAACAAACAAACAAACAAGCAAACAAAATGAATAACCAATCAATAAATGGGCCAAGGAATGAATAGACACTTCTCAGAAGAGGATATATAATCAATCAACAAAATATGAAAAATTGTTCATCATCTCTAGAATTAGAGAAATGCAAATTAAAGCTACTCTATCATCTCACTCCAGTCATAATGGCAGCTATTATGAAGACAACAATGAGTGTTGGTGAGGATATAGGGAAAAAAGGCTCACATTGCTGGTAGGACTGCAAATTGGTACAGCCAATATGGAAAGCATTATGGAGACTCCTTGGAAATCTGGGAATGGAACCACCATTTTACCCAGCTATCCCTCTCCTGGGACTATACCCAAAGGACTTAAAAACAGCATACTATAGGGACACAGCACATCAATGTTTATAGCAGCACAAATCATAGTAGCTAAACTGTGGAGCCAACCTTGATGCCCTTCAGTACATAAATGAAATTTTAAAAAAGGTGGCATATATACACAATGGAATATTACTCAGCAATAAAAGAGAATAAAATCATGGCATTTGCAGGAAAATAGATGGAGTTGGAGAAGATAATACTAATTAAATTTAGCCAATCTCAAAAAAATGCCAAATGTTTTCTCTGATATAAGATGACTGACTCATAGTTGGGTAGGAAAGGGGAGCATGGAGGGAATAGATGAACTCTAGATAGGGCAGAGGGGTGGGAGGGGAAAGGAGGGTACAGGGGTTTAGCAATGATATGGAATGTGATGGACATCATTATCCAAAGTACATGTATAAAGACATGAATTGGTGTAAAATACTTTATATACAAACAGAGATGTAAAAAATTGTAGTCTATATATGTAAGAAGAATTATAATGCATTCTGCTGTCATTTGTTTAAAAAATAAAGACAATTAAAAAATAAAAGATGGCTTGAGGTCATCTAAGGAATTGCCAGGACCACTCCTATCTCAGGCTCAAAGGTGTAAAGCTAAAAATCCCTTTGAAAAGAGACCTGTCATCCACCATACTTGCATGGTATGGCCCAGGATGTAGCTTCACCATGCTTAGCTGCCTAGGCACTCAGAGTCTGCTCCATCCAGGGTCCCAAGAGATTTGGCTACTGTTTGAGATCGTGGCAGACCTTGGTCTCAACAGCATAGTGCTGATTCAGCAGGATTACAGGAAATTGGACTTAAGGAGTCATGAAGGCTTCCACCATGATTTCAATGGAAGGTCTGGAAGGCCAGACTACATGTAGCAGGGTCTGCATGCCTGTGGGCTGCCTGAGAGGGTGATGCATGGAGATATTGGAGCTAAATTGCATTGGAGACCTCCTACATTAAGAGATGACAGTACCATGGTATGTCTGCTGAGGAAAGCTGCAAGGATAAGCAGAAGGAAGCCAAGAGAGAGGTCATGGGGACTGCACCCAGCAAAGCCATAGGAGTGTAGCTACATAAGCCCTTTGGAGAGAACATCATGCTGCTATGTGCCCCAGATGATGGATATGGGGCTACAGGACTTGTTTGCCTGGTTGTGGATTTTGGTTTTATTTTGCTTTTATTTCTTCTTTCTTATGCTCCTGTGCTCCTGTTTCTCCCTTGGGAATGGAAATGTTACTTTGTGCCTGTGTCTTCAGATTTTGGATATATATAACAGATTCTTTTTTTGCACTGAGACTTTGAATCCAGAGGCATTTTACTTACCACTGAGATACATCCCTAGCCCTTTTAAAATATTTAAGACAGAGTCTCACTAAATTGCTTAGTGTCTTCTAAGTTCCTGAGGGCCTCCCTAAATTGCTGATGTTAGCCTCAAACTTGCCATCTTTCTGCTTTAGCCTCGAGAGTTGCTGGGATTAGAGGCATGCAGTGCTATACCTAGCTGGAACTTGCTTTTGATTTTTATTAGGGCTTGGGTGGAGAATTTGCTTGAGTCTCAGAAGACACTTTGAACTTAGATTCTTAGACAATTCAAAAATAAAAATGTTAAGACTCTGGGGACTCTTGAAAATGAACTAAATGTATTATTCATAGTGAGATGGGTGTGAGATTTTGGGGACAAGAGCAGAATTTTATGGTTTAGATATGAGGTGTGCCCCCAAAGCTCATGTGGGAGATAATGAATGAAAGTTTATTGTGAAACAATTGAGCTATAAGAGTTTTAACTTAATCAGTATATTAATCTCTACTAGCTAGACGGTAACTATAGGTAGGTAGGGTGTGGCCGGAGGAGGTGAGTGATTGGGGGCATGCCTTTGGTGAGTGAGGTCACTCTAAGCTTCATAATAGTCATGTCCTGAGCTGCTTTCCTCCTTCACACACTTCCACCATGATATTCTGCCTTCCCTCACCCCTAGAGTAATGGTGTTGATCATCTGTAGACTTAGACTCTGAAATTGTGAGTCCCAAATAAATCTTTCCTCCTCTATGTAGTTCTTGTCAGATATTTTGGTCACAAAAATAGAAAAGCTTACTAAATCCATGTTCCCACTAGAATTATACACCTTTAGATTGCCCCTGGCCTTTGTGTCAACACAGCAAGAAATCTACAGAGTCGGCTATGTCTGATCCAGGTATAATGCCTCTAATGGATTGGGAAATCTTAGTTCTAGGGATGCCAGCCAGATTCTGAGGCTCAAACTCAGAGCCTGAAACTCTTTATATACAATCTTTCTTCCTTTTCTTCCTCTTCTTTGATCACAGATATCAGATCTGCATTGTTATCACTCCTTTACTTTCACTGGTGTTTCTGTAAATAAATCTGTTGAACCTTTCATCCTTCCATGTTGCCTACTTCATGAAATTTCTGAATGTGGGCAAACAGGTAGCTTATCAAATAGAAGTTTACTATTCAACACCCACAGCAAAGCCTCCCATCCCTAGTGTGCCCCAACTCCATGCAGTATGACTCTGGTTACCTGAATACTAGTCAAACCTTGACAGACCTGTCTTAAACCTTCCTAGGGCACATCCTTCAACACTTGAACCATTCCTTGTTCTTCCCCTTCACACCATAACTAAGACCCTGCCACAGTGGAATTCTCTTTAATACTACGACTCAGTTTTGTATGACAGAAGACTTTCTGTGGCCTTTGGGAGTTGGCAGTTCAGATTCCATTGGAATCAACTAATCATGGAGAGGTGCAGGAACCTGCCCCCTATCTCTCAGAAACATGGGGGCATAGAAGGGAGCAGAAATCTCCACTCAATGTGTTATATTCTCTGCTATCAGGGTGGCCAGGGCAGGAAGGGGCCATGGGTGCCATGCTGGTAGCAGATTTTTGTCTCACTTCCCTGTCTGCCTGTGTCACTGTGAGCAACAGGGTTATCCCACACCTGACAGTAATAGTCAGCCTCGTCTCCAGCCTGGGCCCCGCTGATGGTCAGAGTGGCTGTGTTCCCAGAATTGGAGCCAGAGAATCGATCAGAAATCCCTGAGGGCCTGTTGCTATCTCTATAGATGACCAGTACTGGGGCCTGTGCTGGCTTCTGCTGATACCAGTACACGCTATAGCTGCCAATGCTGTTGCCTTCACAGGTGATTCTGGCCGTCTGTCCTGGGGTCACGGATACTGAGGATGGCTGGGTCAGCACATAAGAGGCTACAGTTCCTATAAGAAAATAAAAGGAGAGGGGGAATTAATGGTGAAGGAAACTTCCAATGAGATGCCTGTTTTCTATGTGGTCTGGAGGAGCTTCAGGAATACTGTATGCCCAAGGGCTTGCCCTGGCATTGAAACCAGCCATAGGGGTCCATGAGCCTGACTGGAAGATGGAGGTTTGAACCCATGAGCAAACCTAACCCTTTACCTCCTGAGGTTACACAAGTCAGAGAGCACAGTGTGGGAATTTCAGCCCAAATTCTCATCCTGCAGCAGGTTCCTAAGCATCCTTCCCACCACAGATAAAGCCCTGCTGAGCTCAGAATTAGGGCCAGGTTGGTTAGAGGAGGTTTGGGCTGGGGGTATTGGTTGGGGCCTTGGAACAGTACCTGTGCAATGAGCCAGGAGGCTGAGGAGAAGGGCCATCCAGGTCATGGTGTCCCTGTGGCTGCTTCTTGAGTCCCACATGGGCTTTCTTAAACCAGGCTTCTCTTATTCTCTTGTTGAGGACAGCTGCCCATTATGCAAATCAGCCCAGGTTAGGGCTGCTACTATAGGAAGCTGTGTGGTGTCCAGAGCAGGGCTCATCCCCAGGGACAGATAAAGGGGAGGGGCAACTCTGAAGATCTAAACTCAGCCCACAGAAGACTCCGTTTTTGATGATCCTAATTTCTGGGCCATATCTCCACCCTAGGTAGTCTTCTGGCATTAATACTGGGATGGCCTGGTTATATAGAGATGAGTGTCTTTGTTATCTGAACCAACAGTACAGTTGACAGTAAGAGGCTTTATCAGCTTTGGGATCCTGTCCCAGGTACAGATCCTAGGCTATGAGTCAATCAAGTTCTTCTGAAAGTGTACATGGTATCTTAAATATTCAATGTGGTGCTATAACTCTCTGTCCCTGGTATGAATGCCTCACGCAGATCTTGGGTGTTTTGCCTCATATCAACAGCAGGCTCTAGGCAGATTAAACACCTATGTTGCAATACTTACTGACAGTTATAAAGCTTCAATGTGGACTGGGAAATACTAGACATTCTACAAAGGTCAGATCAGAAAGACACAGACCTCAAAAAATAGTGCATCCATTTTGAAAACAATACTGGAGAAAAATCCAGCATATTCTTCAGGTCTCATGTCAAGGTCACTAACCCTCCCACTTGTGAAATCTCCCTTCTAGGATGAGATCTGGTGTTTGGGACATGTGTGGTAGAGTCAGAATTTAGACGAGCTGGGTGTGGGAAGGAGGTGTCAGGAAAAGCAAAAAATTTCCTGTGTAAATACCTAACAAATAGGAAAATTCTAGAAAAGCTAGATATGAGAAAAATGGAGACCACAACTTTTTACTTGTTTCAAAGATGGTGTTGTAGCAAAATGATGCCTTTTCTTCTAGATTTCAGGTTATGCTTACTAACCCTCCTGTGTGTTAGAATCCTGAAGCCCAGGCCCAGCCCCATCCCAAGGAGGCTTTGTCAGTTCTCCACTGCCACATGGTGGCCACTCCACACTGGCTGCTACATGTCAGGGCTTCCTTGGTCCAAGTGCAGATTCTGAATCTGCTTCTCAGGCCCAGGATTTCTTGATCTTTGACCAGGGAAGGAATTTCATCTTCTTCCTATGGTTGTAACCAGTCTCAGGACCAGAAAGGAGCAGGCTTATATCACACAGGAAAATATGAACAGGTGCATTTGAAAGAGGAGGATCAGAGCCCACCTGAATTATCTCAGCATATTTCTCTAGGGTGGTGAGTGGTCATGGAAATGATTCCAGGGCCTGGTGCTGGGTGACACCAGATTCAGGAACTGGCTCTTCCTAGGGTCAGCTGCAGGTGCAGAGTCAATGTGGGTGAATGGTGGCTCCAGAACCACAGACCCAGGCAGGATTCCATTCACCACCAATGGTTATTCAGTCCCATTGTGATCTCCACAAGGTTACATGCTGAAAATTCAGGAACATGATGAATTCTTTGCTCTAGGAGCTTCCATCTTCTGTCTGGCTCTGTGCTTTGGACACAGTTTGTCAGATAAGCAGAATCTCCTACCCACCAGAGCCTGTGCTTCGTTTCCTCTGTTTCTTGAAAGTCCATATGTTTTTCCAAGTCTCAAGAAGCTAGGATTGACCATATAGTCATTGCATGAACATGGAATGGAACACTCAGTTGACTGGAGTTCCTTGTCAGTGCAAGTCTGCACTTGTGAGGGAGAGAAATATGTTGGTTTTTGCATCATTTTGTCTTGTAAGTATGAAAGTGATGACTAGAGATGCAAGAACCATTCTGAGTTCTTAAGTCAACAAGAAAAAAATGTAAGAATAAGATGGTAAGAATGGTGGAACAGAAGCTGAAAAATCACACCAGGTCCCAATTTAAATTGGTGAGTAATTGAAATCAACAAACATTATGCCTCAGACTTGTGTTTTGGATGAGAAAAAAATAGCCTCCATGTGCTCATGAGTCTGTTTTTGTGCATTTGATTTTGCATTTAAAAAAACATTCCATGATCCACTAGGGAAATAATTAGCATAAATAAATCAATTAACTAAAACAATGTTAGGGAAAGAAACATGCAGGGGTAATGATAAGCAGAAAATTAAGACAGTGATTAGAGAGAGTGACAGGCAGGCTGAGATATAACCTGAGACTGGAACTCCCCTGCAGATGTATCACTAGAGCTGCCCTCAGGACTGGTGAGAAATCACAGCACATGTGTGGGGACTGCAGAATCCATGAAGTGGGAAAAGAGTCTTGGTGTGTGATGATGGGAGAAGAAAGTGGCAATGTGAGAGGACTAGGACTGTAACCTGTTTAGTCTAACACAATATTTTCTCCTAAGGAGGTTTGATGGTACGACAAATGCACAGTCATAGCTGTTAATGGGGAAATTTCCAGGTAATAAACTTGCTTCAATGGCATCTTTGCAGCACATTAGGAGCCTCAACTACAGGGAGAGATGAGACACAGTGGGTTCCCCAGTCACAGCCTTGCTTACCTGGAACTCAATATACCCAGAGGCTAGTTGCTGGTTACTCTCCTCTACTCTGTGCCCTCCATGTAGCCGGTAGGAACTTAGGTTAGAGCCTGTGCCTCCTGTCCTGAGACAGGTGTTGAGTGTCTTCTAGTGTCTGGTGAGTGACAGCAATGTTTTCCTTGACAAGATTCCCTGACCCTGGTAGTACAGAATATGGGGAGTGTACATCATAGGAAAGAAAAGAAATGAGACTGAAAAAGGGAGTGACAATCCCTAGATGACTCAGGGAGGAGATCAGAAGCCAAGGTATGTTGATGGCAAGGGGGAATAAATAGTCCTCCAACTATGGGAATAGAGAATATGCATCCTGTGTGATGAAGAAGTGAGTCAAGGTGCTTCGAATGAAGATGGCACTGGAAATGTATCCCAACTCAGGTATTGTGGTCATATTGCAACCATAAGGGCTGTGGTGTGATTAGGTGTGTCCCAGATGTTGTGGTGAAAGGTGGATACAGACATGTTTCCTCATACATATTTCCTCATACATATTTTCCAGGTATGACCACGTGCATTGATGGATAGCCAGAAGAGATCCACTTGGGTCTTGCTCCTGCCTAGAACCACACTTCTGTCAGTAAGTTCCCAATAAATTATACTTTATGAAGATCTATAACTGTATCTTTCTTCAATCTCCTGGAACCTTTAGCCCAGTTCTCTTATACTATGGCTGGATTGTTCTTGAACCAAGCCTACTTTTGAGTTGGTATCCCCAAACAAATTCAACCAGTTACATGTGAAGTTGTGCAACATCTCTGTAACTATATGTTTAGTGCTTCCTCCATTTTATTGATAATATGTTGGGTAGAATCAACAAATGATGACTTGACCAGAGGTTCCAAAGTATACAAAATTAAAATAGGTCTTCTTTCTTCTTGAGTTTATTTAGCTAACACTTAGGCTGTAGGCTGGGAGGCATACTTTGTTTATGTGCACATGTATGTGTGTCTGTGTGTGTGTGTGTGTGTATTTGACATGGAGTTCTTGCTGTTTCCCAGGCTGACCTTGAACTCATGGGCTCAAGCAATCCTCTGGATTCATTCTACCAAGAATTGGGACTGTAGGTGCATATCACCAGGCCTGACTATATAACATGTCTAAAAGGAAGAAATCGTTTTTTTCATTTTTCAATGAAATCCAAGGTGCTTACCACTGAATAACATCTCCAGTCCTTTTTGTATTTCATTTGGAAGCAGGGGCTCACTAAGTAATTTAGGGTTTCACTAAGTTGCTAAGGCTGGCTTTGAGCTTCTGATCCTCTTGCCTCAGGCTTCTGAGCCACTGAATTCCAGGTGTGTACCACCACACCCAGATAAAGGATGCAATTCTTACAGGGCTTCTCAATGACAGCAGGGAGAATCTTTCCTCTTAAAGTAAGATAATATGAGATGCATAGCTGTTTTCATGTGAAGCAAATTGTGTGATTGCAATATAAACATTTGAACATCTGGATACCTCTCTGAACTAAAATTCAGAGATGAACACTATTAATGACATTGTCAATGTGGGGTATCTGTGGATGATGAGTGAGAAAAAGGGGGGGCATTAAAATAAGAGATCCATATCCAAACAATAGTCATGTGGTTTCATGTTGAATTTCATAATTGTCTGAAAATTCATTCCAATTGATCTCTGTTTTATTTGTTAAATCAGAGATGTGTTTTTCTGCATTTTTTTTGGTGTGTGCTCCTCTGTCCATGGTAAAACTGACTCTGAAATTTGTAACACAGGAGAAACAGAACCTTAGAAAATGTTTCTTCCTGATGTTTCTCATGAAAATTTATAAAATTCTTTTCATTCTCTGTATTTTCAAATTTATTTGGATTATAGTAATTAAATTTTCATGATGAAAATTATTTATTTTTTGCAGGTAAGATGAAATTCTGCCCAGAATGCATGGAGCAGCTGTATGTGAACCCTGAAACACAAAGCACTGAAGGGAAGGTAGGGAAAAAAGACACCGGGGTGCCACTTAATCAGAGGTGAGCTGTTTGCTTGTCCTTTCTTCTTCCTTGGTCTGGACTCCACACAGCCCTGGGACTTAAAGCAGCACCACATGAGACAGGACAAGACCAGTGTTCAGTGTTGCATCCTGAGAAAGTGTCTCCTCATGCTCAGAATGGGATTGAGAAATCATTTTTTGTTTCCTTTGTCTTTTTACTGTTCATTTTCAAAACCCAGCCACCAGGACATTCTGCTCCACTGACAGCAGTCACAGCAGAGGGAAGAAGGACCTCATCTCCTAGGAAGAGGATGGCATGAAGCTCCTTTGGTTTTGTTTCTGTGTCTTCTTGGTCCTCAATCTGAACATGTTCACAGACACAGATGTATTCAGTAATAAATGTGCACATTGTTTTACCAGAAGAAGAAGGGAGAATACCACAGATAAGGTAGAATTAAGGAGGTTGT